CTCTAAAGAGGCTCTTCTCTGCACTTTCCCCCCCCCCCCATAGGGAAAAAAAAAAAAAAAAAAAAAAAAAGAGAGAGAGAGAGAGGAAGACCTCTCCCCCAATTAATATGTAGATGATGACAGTGGAGGGGAGGGGGCCTAGGAAGGGGTGTGTGTGAGTGTGTGTGTGTGTATGGGGGTGTGTGGAAGCAGAGGGAAGGTGGAGGTCATAATCTTTTGCGTTAAAAAAAATAAAAAAGAAACCAAACCAGAAAAACAAACCAGCCCCAAAATTTTTTATGATTATAAACCAGAAAATCAAGCAGATGACACAAACTCCACGAAGGGATGAGTGCGGGATCCGCGCCGACGGGAGCGCCGGGGACGATTTAATGGCCGTGACACGCTCTGTTCACTCCGGCTCTCTCCTCTGCTCACTGCCCCAGCTCTGGGGACCCTCGCCTCTGCGACCCCCTTCTCTCTATTAAAGGCGATACGGATTTTCCTCGCAGCTATCTGCCTTTAAGCCTCCCCCCGCCCGTTAACCCCTTCAGGCCCGAGAGCTCTGCCAGCGCTGCCGTGAGCCATGGTTTCTCTACTGTGGCACGGCGGTGCCGCGGTCGCCCCGCACAGAGCCGGGCGAGCTCTCCGTCGGGTCTCGCCACACGTTTACGATGGTCATTATTTATTTACCTCTAAAAGCGTGCTTTCTTCAGGTGTAAAACTACTGGATCCAAACGGGAGGGCAGCAGGGACGGATTTTGACAGGGTCACCAAGCACACAGAAATTGGACCAAGCTTCTGGGATTGCCAGAGGTGACTTGCAAAGGGACAGAGGCTGGCTGGAGCCCTTTTTGGTTTGAGGGGTCAATTACAACCCAGAAAGAGCTTAAAAATAAATCAATACTCACCTTTCGTCGTCCTTCTCCCTCCCCCCCCCCCCCCCCCCCCCCCCCAATTCAACCTGATTCCCCTCCTCCTCCAGTTAACTCCTGCTACCCCTTACTTACTCTTACCCTGCCTTCCTCCCATCCCCACATCTGGTTTCTATTGCTCACTTACCTTGAAGTTTTCAGTAATAAAGATATTACGCAAACTAAATCCACAGTTCTTCGGAAGGAAAAGAAAAGAAAAGAAAAGAAAAGAAAAGAAAAGAAAAGAATTTAACGAAATTAAAGAAAAAAACTAGTAACAGAAAAGGAAGACAAGAAGAACCTTAACCCCTTCGGGAGCGCAGGCCGCAGCGGAGCCGGCTGCAGGCGGGGAGCGCGGGGAGCGGCTGCTGCTCTGGGCTCTCAGCGGGCTCCCGCCGGGGCCCGAACCATGTGTCCTCCCTTCTCCCGAGTAGCTTCCCCCACCCCGTGCAGAGCGGGGGGGGACTCGTGGCTTTCATCTGTGTATGTGTGTATCTGTGTTGCGGGGGAGCGGGATGCGGCTCAAGGGGGAGCGGGACGGCAGAACGGGAATGTGACCACCGAGACGATGCTCGGGAGGGGCCCGTGGCCACCGCCACCCTCCAGGCCTTTGCTCCACGGGCGAGACCGGCACCGCCGTTTTCATTAGCTCGGATCTGACAAGAATAGGCGCCCACCCCTCGCCCCCCAGATGCAGAAGGGATTTCTAGCGACGTCGTCATTAAAAACAGCCAGAGACGGATTCATTTACGAGATTTTAAACCGTTTTGTGAGTTTGCCTCAGAGCAGGGCCGGGCTCGCTGAGTTTTCTAGTCCAAGAAAGCTTTCAGTGGATTTGCCTTCCTTATTCTCTTTATTACCTCTACTTAATTATTTTCTCGTCCTTTCTTTCTCCCCTCCCAAACTCACCCACCCCACTGCAGGCCCCATTCTTTCCCTCGTCCACGACATAATAAAAACCAAACCAACTCAATACATGAAAGCCTTTCTAAAATCCACTTTGGGACGGCCAAGGGAGCCTGCATACTGCCGGTACCGGCAGCCTACGAGCGGCTCTGCCGAAGGGCAGCTGCCCTGGGTACCGGGAGCAATTCAGCTCCCTCATCCCCAGCTCCTCTGCAGCGGACTCACAGCGTCCGCACGGTGGAGGGGCGCTTTAAATACGTACTTCCCAGTTCCTTCTCCCGCAATTTTTTGGGGGAACGAAAAAGAAGCCTGAAAGAAGTTATGAGAGAGCAGTTCTCGATGCTACAGCATTATACACGGCCTCGGGACTTCTCTTCGGCAAAGTTAAATAACAGCAAGAGCAAAAACCTAAGGGAGAGATTTGGGGATCGGGCAGGAGATTATAAACATATATATATATGTATATACATATAAATACATATCAATAAAATTTTTATTCAGAAACGCTGCAATGCACTGGTTCGCAGAGGCAGTACAGCGTGGCCGACCCGAAAGAGCTGCCCAGGTTTCCTTTTGGTCAGAAGTCTCGGCTAGCCCCTTCTTGCATTAAATTATAACGAAAAATCCATTAACTTCAAATCAGAACTAATACGCAGCCCTCGGAAAGGACAGCAACGGTACCCGCTATCTAAGTACCAATTTGCATCCCTAGAAGCGGAAGGTTAATTCGGGAATCGTTACCGGGGGAAAGGATGTGCGCAAGTACCTGGCGATCTAGAGGGCGTGGGGGGGAATAACCGGGAAATCACTTTTCCTGACTGTTTTTGTTTAGCAGGACTAGGTTTGCGCGCAATTCTCTCAGCAAGTGTGACGGGGGATTCCCCTCAGCCCCCGTTAGCCAGAAGCGGAGCCTTGCGAACACAAAAGCACACAGGGAGCCTGCAGCAGCCCTCCCGTTAAACGAGGCGATGGAGCTGCGTGTCTCGGTGCAGCCGGGACTGCCGTGTCCGTCCGGCCGCGGCGTTCTGCCCGCCCGGTCTCTCCGCATTCTCCACTGCTGGACCCAGGATCCGCAGAGCAAGGGCGCAAAGGGACGCGCAACATTTGAAACACGATCTCATAATTTTTCCTCTGAGTGACCCCAAACCTGCCCCGTCCCTGCATCAAATGCATCCCAAAAGGGAAGGGAAAAAGAGCGGCCGAAAGGTCTGCGCTCCGTAGGAGCCAATTCCATATGTACATGGGTTTTATATCGAGACAATTTTCAGGTATGGTCCCTGTTGGTTTTGGAAGAGATCACTCCCGAGGGTTCCTTCCGCCCCAGAGCTGCGGGAGCCCATGTGAGAGCAAACCGGTCCCGCCTTTATGGACGGCAGCTCACACCGACAGAGTAATAGATGCGGGAATCGTCAGGAATCTGCAGTTCCGGGCGTTCGAGGTGTCCCTGCCGGCGACACCTCAGGAAGAAGAGACAGCCCAGGGCAGCCCTGACTAGCTTGTTTCCGAGGAGCTGTTTCCTTTCTGCCGAGGCAAGGGCGGGCGTCGCTCCCGGGTGAGGACCCGGAGCGAGGCGCAGGCGATTGCGGGCATATCCTGCATTTCGATTTCTGGAAGAAAAATAAATCTTTATTCCCGTGTGATTTAAACACTCAGACTTGTGTTAAGTCCAGGGAAAAGGCAGAGATTTCCTCTGGTCCCTGCACGCCGGGCGCGGCAGCTCAGGGCTGTGAGGAGCGGGCAGGCGGGACGGCTGCTGGGACGAGCCCGGCTCTCGCAGGAGGCCGGGGGAGGAGGCAAGAATGCTCTTCCCCGCTTTCCCAGCCACCATCGAGGGAAACCCGCGGCTTGAGGGGTGTCCCCTCAAGCCTCCGCCGTCCTCCTGGTACTCCCGATGGCTGCAGCCAGAGCGGCGGCGGGATGGCTGAAGAGAGTCAGTGCAGTAGTCAGGGGTGCCAGGTCCAGCACCCCAGAGTAAATAGCTCGGTTTAGGGAGCAGGGTCATTTCACTCGAGAGGGGGTTGGAGAGAGGGGAGATCTTTCACACCATTCCCTCCTGGCACTTTGACTGAGCCCTGCTTATGAAAACTGTTTTGAATTTGTTTCCCGAACGGATTGGTTTATGTGGTCACTTCAGAGCTGAGGGGTCCTTTTGTACTGGACCGAGATCTGAAGGCGACTTATTTATAACACCACTGCAGGGCGGGAGTGAGGGGAAAAAAGTACTCGTGCTAATCTCCCCTAACATTTTTTTTTCCTAGCGGGATGAAGGCTGCATCTTTATTTCAGGAGTGGAGCTTGCTTAGTGGCCGTCCGGCCGATACCTGCCGCCTTGCGCTCTGGCTCTTTCTTGTTGCCGGGCACCGGCTGGGGCCTGAGCTGCACGCTGAGGGGGCTTTGCTGTCCTGCCTTTTGAGCCTTTCCTCGGGACTAAATATCTAATGTTGTTAAAACACGTTCCTCGTGTAACGAAAGCGCTTACGGAGAACTGACGCTGACCCGCTCCCCTCCTTTCCGGGAAGAAGAAAGGACCAGGCTCCGATGCTGGCCAGGCTAGCCCCTGCCTCTCTAGGCTTGTGCAGGCAAAGCTTTTTCATCCACCTCCTTAGATCCCACCCCGTTGCTTCTTACAGCTACCTCAGCAGGAGAGCTCCGCTTCCCGCAGGCTCCCACCCCTCAGCCCCGCTTTTCGGCCGCGGTCCCGCAGCCGCGCTGTCCGCGGCTCTCGGCCCCACTCCGCAGCGCGGCCCGTCCTGCTGCTCCGGGGGCGGGGGGCTCCATGAGGATCCACATGGCCACCTGTGCCTGTGTATCGGTGTGTTGTCACCAAAGAGGGCACCTGC